GCCTCAGTGAGGGGAACATGCCAGCCCCATGCTGCGTCTTGTGCTGAGAGGAGCTGCTGATGGCCCTGGTGTCTGAATCGCTGCTCTGCGCGACACGCGGGTTTGCAAACCCGGTGCTCCCCTGGAGCAGCCTGACAGAAGTAAATGTAAAACAAAGAGCTTAAAGAGCTGCTCAGAAATAGCTTGGAAACCTTGTGTAGAGCCCCTGGGTGGCTTGTGCTCAGTGCTGTGCCTTTCTGCAGAGCCTTTTAGGGTTGCTCTGGAGGCAATTCCAGAAGGCGGCTTTCTTCGTCATCCCGTAGTCCCTGGCGGCTGATCCGTGGGCTGCTGAATGGGAACAGAGAGGGGAAAAATGCCAACGGGACTGCAGAGGATGCAAACCACAGTGACTGCTGCAGCCTGAAGGTGGGGGGGTGGCGGCTCTGGCCAGAGCCTGGGCAGCTTGCAAAATCCATTGGAACGAGTTAGGAAGGCTGGACAGGGTGGAGAGGAGCAGCTGGGGAAGCACAGAGCCTGGGAAAAGGCGACTCAGAAACTTTTCCTGCTAGTTCGTCACTTGTTGTCCCCAAGCAAAAGCTGGTGAATGAAGAAGCAGGCTGAGTGACTGCCTTCCCAAAACGTGGCAGCCCCTTGGCCCTGCCCTGGGGATGAGCCAAACCTTCTCCTTCCTCCTGCTTCCTTCCACCCCCTTCCCACACCAGTCTCCCAAGACATTTTCAGTCCAGCTGCAGATAGCTTGGTTGCACCCGAGCGTCAAGATCTGAAGACGAGGAAAAATGTAGGATTGAGTAAAACTAACAAACCCTCCACAGCACCTCCCCACAGGCAGTTCTCTCTGGGGAGCTGCTGCTCAGGCTCCCCAGCTGCAGAGCTGAGGACTGGCTGGAGCTGGATGTGCCCGTGAGGTACCTGCAGGTTGTCTGGCCTTGCTCCCACGCGCTGCGGTTGCAAATACCCCTCCCTGTGCCAATTTTTCTCTCTCTCTAAAACTTTGAGAGAGATACAGATGTTGTTTTCCATGATGGTGAACTCTGGCAACTGGTGTCTGACCTGTGTCTTGACCTCAGGATAAGCAGCTCCTGACTCCACACATTCATTTCTGACTCTGTAATGCTTCAACGTAGCACAGTCCCAGGCTGGGGTGAGTCACCTGCTCCCAGGGACTCTCTGGGACTGCTGCTGTCACATGGGGGGCAGAGCTGACTTCACAGGGCAGCCCCCCTGTCCCAGTGCAGCTGGGCCTGGGTGCCCTTGTACCCCCCATGCTGGAAGTAGTGAACCCCATCCCAGATGGAGATGGAAATCCTCTTGGCTTTGCCTTATCAGCCACTCCAAAGCAAACACTGACCCTTGCATCCTGGGCTCGGCTCCTGGGAGGGGAGAGCAGGGGCTGGTCCAGCTCATGTGTGCCCTGCTTGTTTTTCCTCTCACAGGCAGAGACGTTTTGCCTGGATCCTTCCCCTCCTGTGCTGCTGGGGAGGTGGGAAAGGGCAGAGTCTGGGGGCACTGAGCTCTGTTCCTATCGGTTTGGGCCAGCTCAGGGAGTTGCCTGTTGAAGTCAAAGCCCTGCCTGAGCAGAGGGAACAGGCGGCCTGTGGTGAAGGTTAGTGGGTTAGTCTGAGGCTGGATCAGGGCTGGGCTGGGGAGCCAGATGAGTCACTGGTGCTGGGAAGGAGTGTTGGAACTCGGTGATTAAATATCCCAGTGCCTCACAGCCAGGTCAGAGTCCAGCAGTGGGAGGATGGGGGGGTGGGTGGGTACAGACCCTCTCCCTCAAGGGGGGGCTGCACTGAAGTCTGGGGGCTGCTCCAGTCTCAGGTGTCACTGGACAGGTCACTTCAGCCTTGTCCTGCCTTCCCCCATCTGTAGGTGCTGGTGCTCCCAGACCCTTTCCTTTCTCCTCAGCTCCTCTTGTCCTGTGGCAATTCCCAGACCTTTTTCCTCACCCCTGCCTTGTTCAGCTGCAGCTGCTGCAGCTCTTACCCAGGTAGCGTTCTTCCACAGTCCCCCATGGCCATGCTCTAGGTGCAGCTGTGCTGGAAGAGCCTTGGATACCCAGGTAGGATGGTGGGAAGTCACAGTGTGTCAGCAAGGTTGACCCACAGTTCTCCCCTTCCTCCACGGGAGGGGGGCAAAGGCCACGTAGGCCCCCCCAGGTCCTAGAAGGTGTTGAGCTGCATCTCACCCTGTGAGGCCCCTGTGCTAAAGCCCCAGTGCTTGGTAATAGCAGCCTGGTGGCCAGGCTGACAGCATCAGCTGCTGATCTACCCTCAAAGGGGCAGCCTGGGGCAAGCAAGTGGTGTTCCCCAGCCCTGTGGCTGGAAGGCAGCCCACAAACACCCCAACAAGCTCAGGGGTGGTGGGGGGGTTGGAGTAAACCCTGTCCTGCAAAAGGACAGAGCCATCTGGCCACTCCTGCTCTCCTGATGGTGGGTGCCCCTCTTGCCAAGAGGGGAAGGGCAGCAGGTGAACAGTGTGCAGAGAGTAGCTGGGAATGGAATCAATTCACCTTTCCCAACAAACATAGAACCATAGAATCAATCATTAAGGTTGGAAGGGACCCTAAAGATCACCAAGTTCCAGCCCCCCCTGCTTTACACTTATTTCCTGTCCCGTGGCTGCCAAACCAGAGGC